TCCTTTTTTATTTGACTTCAATGATCTGACATTTAGTAGTACTCATAAATTTTTTGCGGAGGAACTCTGCCTTTTGGGGTGGAGATTTATTTATCAACTTTCACAACATTTCACTTTATATTCAGATTGATAGAACCCCTGTGGCTTATCATGTGGGTCTCTGTTGTTGCTCAGTGGTACTTCAAGTACATTCCTTTGTAAAGAGTCATCTCTCTTGCATTCGCATGTAGCCTATCACTGATGTGTTGACTGGGCTGGGTCTAAACGCAGTCCAAACAGAACTACACAGATCCAGCACACCAATTTATGATGTGTGTTCCTTGGCCTGTGACATAGACTACACCTATCCAGAGCCAAACCAAGATATATTTTTTTCACTATTTTGAGAGACAATACCTTAAGGATGAGACAGCAGTGTTGATTGCAGCCATGATACTTGTTTATTTTCCATGAGTAAGATCGCAGCATGATGCTCACTTAAACTTTTTTTTTATTTTTCTCAGTGAAAGGAAAAAAATCAAGCTGTTTTAGAGGGATACAATCACACAGGGACCACTTTATAAACATTCTTCACACCTAAGCCTAGCATTCTGTTCATTCTTTTGTCAAGAAGAAATAGTGAGGGAGAGTACAACATAAAAAAAGGGCCGACCTGGCTTGCCTTGCCTGGGGAATGAAATGCTGTAGCTGATTATTACAGCTAACTATGATGGGAGGACCACCAGGGTAGTGACAACTGATGTAGCTGCCTCCGGGGTGAGACAAAGGTTTACATATTACACAAGCAATTTGGATGTTTTCTAAACATGTTGCCAAGACAGTGGGAGTTGGCAGTTCTTCCCCCCCCGCATCCCCACCCCCTCCAAGCCTTGAATTTTGCATGGATTTTATGTAAACCGGGAAAGAGCGCGGGGACAGGGAGCAAAAAGCACGGACTGAAGCACTCTGCACTTTTGTGCTCTCTATGAACTGTGAGTGAGCTAATAAATTCTTTCAACCACTCAGCGTAGCATTCACGGATATCCCCCAAAGATTACACACACAAATCACTGCACAATGGAGGCCACCGGGAGGGCCTGGGCGTCATAGGGGCCCCCGACCCTGTGGACAAGCGCACATAACCAGGCTTGCTGAGAAGACTGGGCAAAGGCGGGGGGTTGTAGAGGAGGTGCAGCTCTACCCAGAGTCAAATGCTTTATAATGGTTGGTAATGGAATATTCAAGGAGGTTGGTGAAGGTGTGAAGTGAAACAGGCGAGGGGAGAAAAAGAGAGAATGGGAGAATAGCGGGGGTGTGAAAGGGAATGTGATGGATAAATAAAAAAGGGGATTAGAGAGGTTGAAGAATTAAAAGAGGTGGGGGGTGATGGGTGTGCAGGGGTTGCATGTAGTGGTCTTGGTGATGATGAAGATGACCGAGGGGGGTGATTCCAACCCCACACAGCCGTGCAGAAGCCAAGGAGGGACATAATTAACTCCTGGATCCTTTGTGTTTCTCATCTGACTGCAGGGTGGAGATGAAAGGGGCCTGCTAAGCCTGGCATTCCACCCCAATTACAAGAAGAATGGCAAGCTCTACGTCTCCTACACCACCAACCAAGAGCGCTGGGCCATCGGTCCACACGACCACATTCTCCGTGTGGTTGAGTACACCGTTTCGAGGTAATAGGAGAAGTGTGTGCCAAATCTACCTTAAATATGGGTCGTTCACTGAGCTGCTTAGCTGCTTCACTGTCTACACAACATTGACTATTAAGTGTGAGGATTAATATAGCCTGGACATGCATTTCTTCCTGCAAAGCCCACTTTGTACTGATGTATGATGGTTGGTGAAATATCCCCCAATCTCCTTTTAAATACATACTCTCATTGAGCTTTTTATTGCTGAATAATTCCAATGGACCTCACAACCATGTATCCTTTCAAATGGAATAAGATAAATAAGGATGAGAAAAGGATGATTCTATTGGACGTTCCTGATCAAAAAATCCTGGAGGAATTGATTGTATTATTGGCTGCTCCATCTAATCCAACAACACTGATTTAAACATTTCTGCTAGAAACCATGGTAACCACAATAAAATATGAAAGCTTTAAGGGCACAACGAAAGGTTTCTAAAGATGTAATAGGAAAAACATCAAGGATTTTTGTCTTGTGGGGATTTAGAATGTAGGTTAAACGTCCCGCCTAACTAGCTTTCAATGCGCTCTGTTTTGCTGAATATGTGATGGGCGTTGATTTCCAACACTCTCAACCACACACCTGTGATTAAGAAAACAATCTTTTCTCACGAACGTGTTTAAGTGCTACATTTTAATTTGCATAATCACAGTTGTATGTTTGACTTAATGACCTAATCTTAATTATAGTCTTGGCATGCAGTCTTGGTGACTGCAACGTATAGTCCTTAATTTGAGGGTCCAATAGAGAAATGACAGTTAAAGTATTTGATGGTAGTTTTAAGAGAGTCATTTTTTGTCTTTGGCAAGCTTGCTTTTTAAGAATTGCAGGACTACCCAAAATAACACAGCATGAAATATTTGTTGCTGATACTGTGAAGCCAAATCCTCACTTTGCACTAGAAATTGTGCAACATTTTGAAGCCTGTGTTACATCTCCACCCACTGTCTTTGCCTTAATGAGACAATGCATTATATTTAGACTAAATGTCCCCAGACAACAAACTATTTAAACTCATTTAATGTTGGATTTTGTTCGTTATGTTATGTCAGCATTTCTTATCCATCCCGTGGTATCATTTTCCCCACCAACACAATTATTCTTTAAAGTAATAAGAGGCAATCAGAGTGTGTACTCATTTATAAAATCATGTCTTACGCAGTATATATCTCAAAACATTTAATTCAATTTCTTTAGTGGCTTTTCACCCCAATCAAGTGCTAACTGCAGGGCAAGTCACTTAGACTGTAATACAGCGTATACTTTTAAATATTTATATGAGACTCTATTGAGGCGTGTAGGTACAGAAATGTTGTACATACTCCTGATAAATATTAGTTACTTTGTAGTGTAGCAACCATTGTTTTTGCACTCAGTGACAGAAGCCTAGTGACAATGACGTGCTATGTTTTTCCTTAGGAAAAACCCGAACCAGGTGGACACTCGGACTGTGCGGATGCTGATGGAAGTGGCAGAGCTGCACAGGAAGCACCTAGGTGGTCAACTCTTGTTCAGCCCTGATGGTCTGTTGCACATCATCCTGGGAGATGGCATGATCACCCTGGATGATATGGAAGAGATGGATGGACTCAGGTAAGATCCGATTTCTATGAGTCCTAGTATAAATGATTGAGTAATGGTGTGTGTCTCAAGATTGAATACTTTCCTAGCTCCTACTATCGTGAAGGTGTATTTTGTTTGTGTGTTTGAATGCAGTGATTTCACAGGGTCTGTCCTGAGGGTAGATGTGGACACAGACTGTTGCACATCACCTTATTCCATACCACGGAACAACCCTTACTTCAACAGCACCAACCAGCCACCTGAAATCTTTGCCCATGGATTACATGACCCAGGCAGGTGAGTGAAACATTTGAAACTCCTTCAACGTCACACTAAAGATCTTAACATACAAATACACTGTTCAAAACTGGGCTACGAAAGAAACCTGTGTAGTAATTAATAAGTTTCATAAACTGTTCTTTGCCACCTTGTTGTTTATTACTGTATTCATCCCTGGTGTTATGTCCTGTAGGTGTGCAGTGGATCGTCTTCAGATGGACAATGGGAGTTTTCTGATCCTGTGTACAGATGCCAGTGGCAAAAACACATCAGCAGGAAGAATACTGGAGATTACTAAGGGGAAAGATTATGGTGAGTTACAATTTCCATGAGATTTTCCAAAAATATGAATAATATTTATATTTTTTAAGTTTGGAAGGAGTACATTTTGCAATGCTAATATGATAAAAATAACTTCAGTGCAACCTTTGCCTGAGTCTTGTGTGATGGCATTACGTCTGGAGAAAGAAATGAAAATACATTAACCTCTTGGATAACCTTTCATATTTATTCTGCTCAATATGACATCTGTTTTTCCGAATGTCTTTCATTTTGTAAGAACATGGTGTTTTGGCAGCAAGTTCCGAAAACACACCGGGTTGAGTGCAGAAACAGCGAAGGTTAAATGTAAAAATGATATGATGTGTGAAAGATTCCTCCCTTCCCTCGCTAGATTTGCCAAGGGAATGTAAGATTGTGTCCCCAAGTAAGATTTAAATCTGTCAACAACAATAACTGTCTAGATGATGGTTTAGTATTGTTGAAAATGCAGCATAGTTTTTATCACATTGAGAAATTAATCAATAACAGGAACATCTTGAGAATGCTTAGCTTTCTTCTCTTCACAAAAGAACAAATTACTGCTATTTGTTCCAAATTACATTGGGCTGGTTATCCTTGCCAAAATGAGTGATGCTTTGGCAAACCAAACTAGTACTTCAACCCTTTATCTCTCACTTCAATTCAAAGTGCCAGTTCTTGTCACAGGCCACCTCTCAGCTGGCTAGATGCCAGCTTTAGCCATTTTACCCAAACTCTAAAGTGATTGCAGTTGGGAAATGAGCACACCAAGTCTTGGATCATAAAGTTTTAAAGGCAGCAAACCTCCATTCATATTTCCCTTTGCCAAGACAACTGTAATCCAGAAAACATGCCATATTGCCTCAACATCACACTTATCAATAAAATACATTCTTTCCCAGTTTTGATAACGACATAATAAAGTCTAAGTTGGCTGCCAAGGAAGAAGTCATTTATGTTGCCATGTGTTATGTTGTCCAATTTTAATCAAGATTCACTCTCTGCTTTTTTTTTCATGTTGAAGTGAGTTGCCCTAATAGGAACCACATAACCATTATATCTAATAGACAAAATTAAGCAAACATGGTTAATCTTTTTGATTCCAACACAAACAAAACAACCCTTATTATAATAGCCATAAATTATAATAATTCCTTGAGTAAATCAATAGATTATAACCACTGCAGGATGCCGATTGATGAATATTGTCACTGATACATTATATCTCAGAGAATATATTGCCTCTATGATAAAACTTTGTCTACTGGTGATGCATGCCGGCAGCAGAGCCTAAATCAGACCTTGCCTTCTTGTTCCCTCCCTAGAAAATGAGCCTTCCGTTTATGACCTGCAGTCCAGTGGAGGAGCACCACCTGTGGGGGGTTTCATCTACAGGGGCTGCCAGTCTAGAAGACTTTATGGAAGTTATGTGTTTGGAGATAAAAATGGGTAAGTCTGAAAAGGGCCATTTTTCTTGGCCTCCCTGTATACTTGATGACGGATATCTTTATTTTAAAGACATTGTAGTGGCTTGATCCTGCTGGCATTCAATTCACTTCATTTATGAGCTATCAAACATCTTCAGTTTTATACAGATCAACATAACTCTTCCCTCCCTTCTCACACTGAGAATCTGTCCCTTGCATTGGTATATGCCAAAGTAAACACACAGTTCCATCCACGTGGGGGAAAACAAGTTTTATGTTACTGTCACTGCTACGGCACGGCCCATTCAGTGTAAATGGAGATTAGACATCCTGCCCTGTGCTGTTCACACTTTTCTTTGGTTTGTAATTTATCCTACTTTGCTGATGTCAAACATTGACGCTTGAGTAAACAAAGGAAGTAAATAGCGGGGGGGAAGTACACTATCAGGAGTTGGCACTGTGTTTAAAACAATGTGTGGTCGGTTAATTCTGTGCCTCATTACAGTTTGAGGGCATACTGTTGTGGCTAAGTGAAGGCTCCGGCATGATGTTTGTTTTGAAACTAAAAGCCGAGGTCTTAAATAACACCATGTGAGAGATGGGGTGGAAAAGGAAGATGGGTCAATGAACCACGTTACAAGAAGTAAAAGCTGTTTCCAAATCTCAGCTGTAATTGTTGTAATACTGCTGTAAATGAACTGCATTGTATTTCTCACTTCCACAGCGATTTATAAATTTAAGAAATGCGCACTGTGTCATCTGCCAGTCTTCATGAGTTAAAGTGGCAACTAACTGACTCTGTGTGTTTTGTTTGTTTCAGTAACCTGCGGATCCTCCAGAAGTCTACACTGTCAACATCAGCAAATGGTGAACAGTGGCAGGAGAAAGCTCTGTGCCTTGGCTCAGCTGGCTCCTGTGGCTCTACGCTTGTGGGACACATCTTGGGCTTTGGAGAAGATGAACTAGGTTAGTTGGGCAATGAAAAGAAGATTATCTATCTCTTCACAGATAGCTCAATCTAGCTCTCCTTTGTTTTGTTCTTCCTCCCTATATCAACATGAGTCACAGCTTTGTGTTAACATATTTTCTGAAATCACTTTGGGGTTTTACAACATGAATCCTTCAAGGTTTGTTGACTTCAAATGACAGATGTCAAAACTATGGAAGAATTATGGCTTGGAGTAATTTTGTTGTATATTTATCAATGCTACATATATTAACATCATTGGGGTGGAATTTTCCAATTTGTTATTTGAAAGATGTTTGCAATGTTGTGTACTAACACAGGGGAATGCATAAAAACGCAGTGGAAAATCAGGGAAAACTGCAACACCTAGCCAACAAGGGGGAACAAAGCTACAGTGCAATACCCCTCTTACTCTACCTCTATGGCACATTCCCAACAGGATATTAAATAGTGCGTACTTCCTTCTGAATTAATTGTCATTTCCATAAGATAGCAATGATACTCCAAAGACCCACTTATGGGCTGCGTTGGGCCACCTACAAGGCGATGTTTTGCATGGTTAGAGAGATATGTTTACCTGAGGGACTGCAGCATAAAGATAAGGTAGGGTGAGCTGAGGTGAGCAGACTAATATGATACAGAACATTTTTACCAGTTGGACCCCCACCAGACACTCACAGAATTATTAGCTGTCAGCTCTGGTGTTTCTGATTAAAATGAAGACATGATGTGGATCACTGACACAGCCATCAGAAATGTTTGATCACAGTTCTTGCCAGGTCTTGGAGTTATTATTTGACGAGGTATTTAAAGATCCCTGCATTTGATCATGATTTGCAAGTGGTGCAAGAATCATGGAGAGGGTGGGCTTGTGTCCCAAAGTATGGGCCCCACAGACACATGTTTACAATTTGTCCCCTTATGGAATTTTCTTGTGGGCTTGTTCCTCATTAAATTATCTGCCTGGTTCCCAGTCATGAGTATCCAATTGTCCCATTAAACTCTTTCTTAAAGTCCTTTGGCAAGTGCAGCAATGCAGAAGCTTTAGCTACACTCATCTCCTCTCCTTTTGTCCTATCATGTCCGCTTGTCTCCTCTTGCCTCCTCATTTTGGCACTGCATGGTTCGCATGGATGGAAGAAAAGTGAATTATTGGGACATATGCTGCACATTAAAAGTATGTAATTCAAATAATGCTAATGGTTAATTTCATGTGACTGTTCCTCTATTTGCAGGTGAAGTCTACATACTGGCAAGCAGTAAAAGCATGGTGCAGTCACACAGTGGGAAACTCTACAAGCTGGTAGACCCCAAAAGGTACAATCATGAAGTACATTTTCTTTTTCTTGGGGGTGGTGTGTTTTTCATTTGGAAAGGGGCTTTGAGTGAGCCATATTCTTTCAGGCATCATATGTTTGTAGACTGTGGTGGTATACAGTCGGGTCTTGGTTCAATAAGTAAGTAATCCCTCCGTACTTGTACATGCCATCTAATGAGACGTCAGCTAAGTAGGCCACCATCCCTAATTCCATGCTGGGTTTTGGTTTTTGTTTTAAGATGATCCCACATACAGCATATCATATGAGATCCAATAACTCATGCAACTGACTCTCATGAAACCATGGATCTATAGTTAATCACATTTCACTACGGTGCCGTCTTTGCTTGCTCATTTTCCTCAAGTCCTCACTACGTATGTCCCCTCCACACACACTTAACATATCACTGTGACCAGAACTTTTGTACCATTCAACACGTTGTCACATGACGACCTGCCTCGGCCAAAACAAACGCTGAGCGGTAACTGGAGAATAAGTATAGCATTTCAAAATGTTAGTGTAAAGTACTGCTAACAGCAACGCTGACTAGATGGCCGTGGTCACCTTATAACTGTTGCCTGCTGGTTATTCTCAGAGCATTTGACAGCTGAGAGTACAGGAAACACAAAGGCACCTGTTGCCAAGCACAGAGAACTCATGTTCATGCATATAAGGTTGTGCACATTTTATTCATCATTATGTGGACAGAGCTCAACAAGGCTCCAATTTTACTTTGAGTGGTTCAATCCAGTCAATTTCTGTGCAGCTTAATTAGTTGATGTTAAACAACTGGAATGTGTGGGGAACATGTATGTGAGTGCAACTTCATAATTCAAATGTGTGTGTGTGTGTTACTGTGTCATAATCCTTACCATATGCATCACAGTATTAGGAATCATTCAGATAGTGATGTATCTATAAACAGTTTGGGCAAAGTCAAGCACACGTGAAAAAAAGACGAGAAAGAAAATAGGCAGACAGGGCACAAATTCATCCCACATGATAGAGGAGGGATGTATAAGCACTTGTGTCCCACCCCCCTCCCTTTTTTTTAACCTATCTTCTGCTCAGGTCAGAAAGTTGGTCCTGTCAAATTTTTTATGTACTGAATGCACAAGAAAAGTCCCAAAAGGATAATATTTTTTTAGGCTAAGTCAGATTTGATTAAGAGAGGCAGATAAAGTGAGAGCAGACTCAGAGAGAGAGAATTTGCATGCCTCAGAATTACAATAGAAACATATCCGCAGCTGATTATTCCTGGGTGACGACAGTGCCACCCAGGCATTAGCGCAATTAATTACACCACAGATGTTTCAAAGGGGCCCTGGTGGCTCGCTCCGTATTTATGTTTTCTGGCATGGCCGCTGGACGCATTTCTCCCAAAGAACAATTCTTTCCACCATCAGTTGTTTAGTCTGCGCGGATCCTGTGGTGTTGGAGTCTTGACTCCTAATACACTCTGGCTTCGTTATTATGATCTTGTTACAGGGAGGATGGAGAGGGGGTGACAAAGGGGGAGTAAATGGGGTAGCTAACGTGTCTGACCTCAGCGCGTTATCAAGTCTGGTGGTCCTCCCCTTTTTTCTTTTAATGTGAGGACATCTGGACCCTAAAGCCCTCACATAAAGAGGTTTGTTTTAGAGTATGGTGGTTTTTGTGGTCCAGTATAGCATCTAGCACTGTGTTTTGATCAACTGTGTGTTTGGGAACATAGAGGGGAAAAGAGGAACTGTTAGGGAGAGCGGTAAAGGCTTACAGGGAAACATCAGCCATAAAATCCCTCAGCAGTGTTTGTGTAAACATGTCCTGGCCAGATGACTTCATTTCTAGGTATTTGTTTGTCAGTTGGAGTACCCCTCCAATAATAAATAGGCCACCATGCATTTTGAAACATGCTGAATGTGTGTGGTGTGAGGGTGTATTTATGTGTGTGAGTGAGAGAAAGAGAGAGCGACAGAGAGCAAGACAGGACTTGTTTGTGGTATACCAGTCAGATAGAGATATTTAAAATCTCTATATGGTGACCGTGAGATGCAGGTTTTTTTTTTTTTGATGATGCAGGCTTTTGAGCTTAGATTCTCTCTTTCACCATATGTTGTTAATATGGGCATCAATGCACTTTTACTTTATCTGAGGCAAGACAAGGCAAGGCTCATTTGTATAGCACCTTTCAACAACATGGTAATTCCAACTACTTTACATAAGACATAAAAAAGGCGTGACGACAAGATATAAAAGAAACACAAGACACATATAAATAGGATTTGAAAAGAGTAAAATGTGTAAATAATTCCATGCCTAATTCAGACAAATTATAAATTATAAATTTGGTTTTATATCTTTGTTGTTTATCTTCTTTTATTTTGCAATTTAACTTGCTATATTAGTCTTAAATATACATTAATGGATCAAAGCAGCAATAGATTTCAAATTGAGTGAAACTTTAACTTTGCCCATATTGTAGGCAGGTATTCATCGGCAAGTTTGGCTACTTCTCAGTCTGCATTTGATAACATAATTATTTATAGAGTGAGGGCATTATATTAATGCCAGGAATAAATTATGCTAGAAAGTCCCCTTTCTTTTTAAGAAAGGAAACATACTAACTAAGATATAGTGATACAGCACAAGACAGGGACTTTGTAGCCCCTCTGTGTATATACAATATGCCATGGGAGTCAAATAGTAAAGTTACATGTTTGTTATATCATAATTAAAAAGACACATGTTGAGTCCATCCATGCAGTTGGACAGAGTCAGCCTTGCTCTTACAGTTGGTCGTTGGCAATAGCTTAATTGAAACATATAGAGCCAGACCTCCTGCTGATTTCTGGTGTAAAATGCAATTTGCTGCTCAGTTTGTTACAGCCCCTCTCCGCAGAGGAGGGAAGGGAGACTTTTCACACGTTCAGGTTTTGTCAGCTGCAGGCTGGACTGATTGAATTACAGTGAGCAGAGACCTTAAAAAGACACAGTGAACCTCGAATAGGGTCCTGGGACCTCCTTTATGAACTGCATTAGCCATGGAAGTCACAAATCACTGCAATGCACGGGGGAAGGAGACTGCGGGTGCCCGTTTGTGGATATATTTATCTGTATGTGTGTCTCTCTGTGTTTTGTGTGTACAGATATAAACTGTGTGGGTGGTGGGTACAAGCGAACATGCACATCTGTGAGCCTGTGTGAGCGTGTGGTACGCTAGCTCCCAGCACGCTGCAGAAAAAAGCCTTTTCTTTATTTTTCTATCCCTCCTAAATCTTCCTACATCTCTGCTGTGGTCCTCCCCTTGACAAAGCTGCTTGCCAGTCGCATTGAATAGCCCTGGCTCCTACAATACACAGTAAATTTCTTGCACAATTAAAACAAGGAATGAAGCTACAAAAGAAGCCCCCAAACAATGGAGTCGGATGACAAAACAGCAAAAGAGACCACACTGGGCCGTTTGATTAAGCCATTGTTAGGGTGCACAATGTACACCACTCCACAGACCTTTTCTCACATATACCTCATGTCAATCAACCAGGCCCTGTGAGCCAACAAGCTAAACACACACACATACACACACACACACACACACACACACACACACACACACACACACACACACACACACACACGCACAAACACACACTGACAAACATAATAATCAAACAGATCAGGAACAAATCTGAAGCAGAGCATCCAAACTGCTCCGATGGCACAGACCTGAATGGATGTTAAGATATGTTAATGTTCAGCTTCCCCTGACGTAAGGACACAAGGAAAGGGCAGTTTTTAGCAGAGAACGACTTAACCTGCATTACTCTTCCTTATCTTTGAGGCAGCTAGTATGTCTTTGCTCTTCTGTTTTCATTTTAATTATGACTTGATCTGCGTTTTAAGCAGCTTTATGATTTGTATCGTCATCATCATCTCTCTCTGTTCATGCAACTACCTCATGTGTGAGCACTGTCGCCCTTCTCCCACTCCCTCGCTCTCACACATACACCACCCCTCCCAAAGTTGATAAATTCCCACAGTGGCTGTTGACCCAGCTGCCTTTGTCAAGTGGCGCTACCAGCAGGTGCTGTTTTCACAGCCACCCTGGCAGTCGTACAGACTGTTTAGTAGCGCTGCTGACCCCTGCCTGCTATTAACAGTGTTAGCTACAGACCCCCCAATCCTCCAGGGACTCTTACTCTTTCTCTCTCTCCTTCTCTTTCTGTTTGCTTCCCTCCTTCGCTCTTTTTTAACTACATGCAGCCTGCAACAACAAAAGCCAGCATGGATGGAGTCTGGAGTTGGGTGCTGATGGGAGCATGGGAATCAACCCCCCCTGCCCTCCATCCTCCAAATTTAAAGCAACTTTAACACACACAGTCACTGTATTGTCACTGCACACTGCCATCAGTCAGGGTGTCTGTCAGAACATTTGCAACACATTTTTCAAACTAGGAAGTAAACACTGGCACAATCAAATAAATACAATTACCCTCACACAACATCACAGTTACAGTAAATTATCCAGTTTTTGACTCACAGCTGAAATGTGTTATCTTCCCACACAGTCAACCCTGTACAGGTGAGACTCGACAAACCCGATCAGCATTCCCCACAGCAGAATACTGAGAGTATTTGAGAGTGAATGCAGAGTTAAAATATTGCTAAATTTCAGATTTAATATACCGACTGCTAACCTGGTCTTAAACTCCATCTAGTTTTAGTTTCTACTGCTGATTGACCATTTGCTCTCTAGCTATGATTGATGAGGCCTCTTCTGCCTTGGACTAAGCATTACAACACACACACACACACACACACACACACACACACACACACACACACACACACACACACTGACCTCACTACTCATGCTTTGCAGCTCTCATACCAGCATCAGTCCACAGGAGTCTAGTTACCATGCCTGTGTGTAAAAGTTTGTGAGTGTGTGTCCTTGAGTGTCCAGCAAATTGTGTTGCCTCAGTAGTTTTTTTCCCTGGTACAACAGAACTGTTTACACATCTATATTTTAGACAATTGTCTGCATGTGCGTTTGTGAAAGAGAAATAGAGAAAGTGTGTGTGTGTGTGTGTGTGTGTGTGGGCTAGTGGGCTACAGGCGCTAACAGACGCTTCACATTTGAACTTGATTACGCACTCCCGGTATTATTTCCAGATTTGTAGAGCGTGATATGAAATAATTCTGTTTCAGCCCATTTGCTGATGTGCGTGTCTGGATGTTTGTCTTAATATGGAACGATCACAATATGTTTCTTTGGTGCTCAGACTTCACGCATATGGTGTGGAGATGTTTGTGTTTGTGTGTGTCTGCATTTTCCAAATCATGTTTTTATCTGCGGGAATTCTATGTTAACCCTATGTGTTGTTTTAGGAGTCAAAACAATAAAAGCACCACACATGACACAAGTATTGTCCCAGCTGTACAGTAAAAATCCATCTCAGACAGCAGATTCATTATTGACAGTTGAAAAGGAAAAAAAATCTACATAGAGATCACTAGCTATAGAGGTAAAAAACAAACAACTACGTCTTAATGTGCTATCCCACTGAGGATACATGTCAACCAAAGCTGACAGCCTGCTTATCATCTGACACAACATGTGCTGGCCGATTTGTCGATCATTCTTGTTGCACAATTCAAAAATAGATTTACAGTAAACAAATGGCTACGGCTATCATGACAGATAAAAATGAAGAGCTTAAATCGAACATGTTTCATACAGTCCACAAATCATAGTATAGTATTACTGTGTACCTCCGCCAATAAGAGTTGGATGAGTGTTTTGTTTTTGCCTGCTTTTTGTTTATCTGTTAGCAGGATATTTTTAAAAAGTTATGAATGGAATTTGCACGCAACTATGTGGAAACTGTGATCTGGCACATAAGAACTGATGTGTGTTGGTGGGTGTGACTTCTCACTAAAAGTCTCAAACTTCTAAACAGACTAATTTAATGTAGTGCGCCTAAAAGCAGACATAAGGAAAAGGAAACCATCCATTACTGTTCAATCAAACAACCTGCAGACCCTGGAGAAGGCATTTCTGTTTTGGACATAACAACCCTGCCAATTTCTCCACTTGGCACAGCAGCTGAGCACAGAACAAATACAGAGCTGATTAGCGTTGTGGTGTAACTGCCCAAAATTCTGAGAAGTAGGTAGAATTTATACATATCTTGTCACATGACATGAAATCATCCAAACACTGACTTAATTAACTATACACCTTTACACCGCACTTCGATAAATCAATACGACCCTGTTTACATCTATAATTGTTTCCAGTACAGCACGGTGGCTCCGTGGTTGGCACTGTTGCCTCACAGAAAGAAGGGTTTTGGGTTTGGTTACCAGCTGGAGGCAGGGCCTTTCTGTGTGGGGTTTACATGTTCTCCACAGTCTCTCCCCCACCATCAAAAACATGTATATTAGGTTAATTTTTCCAGTCAGTTCCCTCGCCCATGACGCTGGCTTAGATCTGGAGCTGGTCCCCGGGAGGTTGTACGGTGGCTGTCCACTGCTCCTAGCGCTTAACGCAGAGGACAAATTGCATTCAGTATATGTTTTACAATAAAGTTGATTCTATTCTATTATTATTGCATGTATCTGCTCTCCCCCAAACTAACCCCCAAAAGAGACTCAGAGGTTCTTTAAGGATTCATATTGTAAGGATTCAAGAACCAGTTTGTGTGCTTCTGTCATTATTATTGGATGTAAGGTCAAATTCTAACCTAGTTTAAAATAATGAAGGCATGACACTTGACAGTGTTCATTTTTAGTATTCAAGCCTTATTAGACAAGTAGAATGATAACCAACAGTTGTACAATGAGATTGAGACTGCTGTTGTGTCATAATTATGGAGAATCATTACTTCATTAGGGTGTGACTTTATCGGAAGACATTAAGCAATAATATTAAAGCCCTCCTTTCTGTAATTTGTTTGCATGCCACATGATGCTTGTGTCCCCCACATATTGACTTTCCCTCCTTTTAACAACTGTTCAGGCCTCATGCCCCGAAGGAGTGCCAGCGTCAGGTGGAGCCTCCAGAGCTGCTGATGACAGCTTGTTCCAGGCACTGTAAGAACGGACACTGCACTCCTACTGGCAAGTGCTGCTGCAGCCCTGGCTGGGAGGGACCCTTCTGCCGAGTTGGTGAGTGTCTTTTAGTAGATTTTGCATCTGCTGTGTGTAAATGAGGACTAGTAATGCACATGCACAGAAGGCCTGCCACAGTTTTTCTTAGAAATCATTAAAAACCTATTAGATCTTTTGTGTGATGTTTTTTCTTACTTTACTTTTGACCGCTCTCTCTCTCTCTCTCTCTCTCTTTCTTTCTTTCTCTCTCTCTCTCTCTCTCGCTCTCTTTCTCTCTCTCTCTCTCTCTCTCTCTCTCTTTCTCTCTCTCTCTCTCTCTCTCTCTGTGGCCGTAGCCAAATGTGAACCGGCCTGCCGCAACGGAGGAGTGTGTATGGAGCCCAACAAGTGCCTGTGTAAGAGCGGCTACTCTGGGGCCCAGTGTGAGAAGAGTGAGCACGGTATGCCCAACGACCAGGAGAAAGACGGCATACTGGACCACATCATTGACATGACCTCGTATCTCCTAGACCTGACCAGCTATATCGTATAGGGGTGCGCGGAGGGGGGCTGCTCCCCGCTGTCATCCTCAAGTTGACACAAATCTACCTACCACCACCAGCAGACTCTAACGAGGTGTCCTTAATATGGCCTCTTAATCTCCCTCACACCAACGCAGGCATGTGTATACACACACACACACACACACACACACACACACACACACACACACACACACACACACACACACATACACAGACAGACACACACACAAAGACACACACACAGGATCCCCGTCAGACTGCTTTTCATCCTCATCACCAAACTCTTCCTCTTTCGCCTATAAGCTACTTGCTCTTGAGCACCAGGCCTGGCATCCAAGCCGTGTTCACTGACCTGCAGACAGCAGCATGGCCAAGTTATGGAAGTTCCACTAAGACATTTCGTCTGTCGTTCAGAAAACGCTTGCACACGGCCGACACCACGGGAACAGGAACTCCACAGGAACAGAACATTTTAACTCAAGACTATGGATCTTTTTCAGGGGCTATCTGTTGCCTTACTTAAGACCCCTCAAAAAAAAAAGGAGTTATAGGCATTGCAGTGGAGACAGTTGATTGTTCAGAGGTTCTTTAAGGATTCAAAATTCTGAAGAGTGGCATGGCTCAAGGTTCAGTTTGTGCTCATGGTCCGTTCAAAAACTCAGCAAAATAAATGTCTACATATACAGACTTTGCAGGAACACTCTGCACCTCTGCCTCAGTTATTAAAAGCTGAGAAGTCAGTGAGAGTCGAGGGTCACATAGAGCCTGCAGTGCTTTGTGCTATACTATTCTAAAGGCACTAATAAAAGAGAGATGAACCATGTTGTCTCACTTGATGATGTTGTATTTAGTTTGTGGGCACATTGTCATAAAAAGCTAACAGTATACAGTATGTATACCTTATTTTGCAACACTCACTCGCTATCAATGTACAGAATGGATCCACAACAGAGGACTGTTACCTACACAGAAATAGTGAGAACATTTTGTCAAAGCCAGTTTCATACAATCTGAACGGAGTTATTGGCTCCCATGCACTGTATTCATTTTTTTTGTTTCATTCACTTTATTATTCAAAATGAATTTGTCATTAAAAGCGCAATGAGACACATTCACACACATACACACCACATTATCAGAGGTATGGTTTGACAAACTCCTTTCATTGCGTCACACACTGAAACTGAACTCAAAACTACAAAGGGAAGAGATGGCGCGGTGATGTATATTTCCAATAGAGCTTACCTAAGTACTACTTAGCATTGCAAAAAAACTATAGCATTACTATTGTTATCATAGAGGAGGGTTTATTTTTTTAAGCGTAATAATATATGGGAGAGAATGGTGTTTATAGAAAGCAGTTTTACACTAAGCTTGTCAGCTCATGTCATTTTCATGTTGTACTTATACATATGCAGCTTTTTTTTCCTCTGTTAAGAAAGACGTGTGAGGTGTGTAAAAGTAACGCATGTCTGTGCCTGCGTAGAGTAATTCGCAGCAGTTGGCAGTCCGTCTAATTCTCCTCCCTGACGTGTGGTTTCATTAGCGCTGTCAGAAATGTGTCTTTGTTGTGAGATGATCAAAGATCCTGTTGGGCCACCAAGTCACTGTGGAAGCAGTTCACAGTCAGAGGAAGATCTTAAGATTAACACAAGGATCTGTCTAATGGAGATAAGATTGAATGTTTGCATTTGTCTCCTACATGTCAGAAAACAGATGATTGTCTGGAGCCACATTAATGTGTTGTTTCTTTTCAAAAGACAGACTGAAGTTCAAACAGATGCAGCACATACACACACATCCCCCATTTTCTTTTAAACTAATAACTTGTATTATTGAGAACTCCACATTTGATCTTTTGCCATTTAAATTCCATAAAATTAGTCTTTTGAGGGAATCGTCAGTCATTGTTTTTAACAGTTTTGAAGGCACAGTTGCAGTTTTGCTCTATTCCAAACTTTTATTTTGAAAAAAAGACAAGTTTCCAAGTATAATGGTTAATTGAAGTTCAGTGTCCGTAAAGATGTATTTTGTTCATCTCCCGCCTTGCTTGTGTTTGCTGAAATAAATCAACTCTACCTGGTCAAAATGGAATTCATGCTGTAAAATGGAAAATTATAATTTTTTTTTAGCACTTAATGTGAAAGTTGCATTGTAGCTGCTGAGACGGCGTGGTGTGAATAGAATAACCATTTTCATTATTTAAGTAGTTACACAAATAAAATAATTATTTAAGTTCTCTATGTTGTTTTTACCATTGTACTGTATGTGACAATTTTTTTTATTCCTGTATTGTAAATAAAACTAGGGATAACTTTGTTTCTCTACAGAAATATCAATATGTCTATTAAAATTTATAGCATGTCTGAAATATTTGTCTCTCTTTTCTTTTTGGTATTCAGTTGCATGTGGTAAAGCTTTAGTTTAAAGATCTTCTCATAATTTCTACCGACGTTTCCTTTGAAATTTAGTATAATTATAGAAATAAAAGTAAATATTTATTCATTATTCATATATAATGTAAAACATTATTCTCCATATATTAAATTAGATTTTTGCCTCCATTTAAATTTTACATTTTTGCATATTCAGCTGACTTCCTGCATTGTCTAAAAGCCTTTCCAAGTTACACTAGCAATTAAAGTAAGTCAAATTGTGCCAGTTGTCTCTATTTTAGCTATAATTAATACCAAATTTCATAGAAAATATCTTTCAAATTATTAGGAAGTTAACAAAACTGTCACCACAAGGCCCAGTAAAATTCAGTTTTTATTATTTAGTTTTGTCAACTGCTATTGTCAAGGTAAAGAATGAACATTAACGAGACATCATTAACCATTTCGACAAATAAGCTTTATTGCTTTTGTGCTGATAAAACAGCTCCAGTAAAATGGGATTGATACCATGTTCAAACATGAGGCTTCTGTAAATCCAGGAAGAGACGGTTAGCTTAGTTTAGCATAAGGATTAAAAGGTTAAATGCTATTCTGGCTTCCAAAGGTAAAAATAAAAGTTAAAATCCACCTACCTAGACTTCTAAAACTCCCTAATTAACAAGTTACTCTTGTTTGTTTATACATAACACCCAATGCACTTGGGATTTGTATGAATTATATTAACATAATTAGCTAATTAGGTGCTAGTAGGTAAATTGTTTTTCACCTTTAGAGTCTTGCTATTGCCCCCGTTCTCAGCTGTTTTGAGCTAAGCGAAGCTAACCGGCTGCTAACTGTGACTATGAGAATGTGTATCTGTTTTAGCAAGAAAGCCAAAAACTGTACCAACAAAACCACAATCTCCCTGTTTGTAAGACAAGTCCCTCTCCACGATGTTTCCTGCTTGTCTCCATGTGATAACGGGAAAGTGGCTTCTATCAAAGTTAACTTTCAGTCTCAACCATTAGGAAATTATTCAGAAATTACAGACCTGTAAAATAACGCATTACCTAAGATTTTGGTATGGCTTAATTCATCATTATTGGGGTAATTTCATGTATAAGCACCTTGTCTTTGGTCATGGCCCCATACTGGGAACCGTCTCATTTCTGGTAAGTCAGCTGCAACATTTCCACTGATGGTTTGTCCTCCAGCCAGGTAAAAAGAGTAAAAAGAAGGATGTTAAGAAAATGTTTAAGTTAAACTAGGGCCAACATGGCTCCAGGCCCAGGGTTTTCCCTTTACTCCTGCTTGAATGGAAAAGCTGCCTGCAGAGCCGACGGTGAGGAGAGAGCCGAGATGGCTGCCGTGTCGTCACACGGCGTCACTTTGAGCGATGCCAAAGTTCAGCCTGAAAATTCCTCATTTGAAGTGGAAATTGTCCACTCTGTTTTTCGGAAGTACACAAACACGTTCACGCATGGAGGCGCACACACACGCAAGAGCCACTGCTGATGGCAATATTAATTTCCTTCTCAAAATACCAATGAAGCTTTGTGTTGTATAATGATAGCGAGTGGAGACCACCCACCTCACTCTGGTCTCACTCACACATACACACAAGTGCACACACAGCCATATTTAGAGTAATGCAATACTAAGTTGTCTATGCACTGTTCAGATCCAATCAAAATTGCATAAAGTGGAACTGTCCAATAGTGCTGCGAGGTCCAGCGTATATTTGAGTTTATACACTATCTGTGACATGAATCATTACTTTTCATTTGGAATAGTTTTCTTTTTCCTTCCCAAAGGGCCCTTGTCTGGCTATCTTTCACAAACAGTGTAACCCAGTACTTTGAATAAACATGAGGAGCCTGTATACCAAATATTTGTAGGACTGAGATGGTTGGAAGTGCATGCTATAATATTGTATACATGAGTGAAAGAGTCGGCACAAGCAATACTTATAGGGTAACAGGAGGAGACAGGAAAAAACAGGACAAAACAGGAAAAAACAATAGCACCATGATTAAAAAGAGACACGCCATTCGTCCTCATCCATTCATTACACTATACTTGTGTTTCTATTCTGTAGTAATTCATCGCGTCCTTTGGGACTGTCACTGCCTCGTGTCGTCGAAATCATGTCCGATGGTGAAAGAAAGACAATCAGACATGTCGTAAACAAACCAGACGAGACACTCAAGGTTTTAAGTATCGATTGCAGTGCTAAATGTTTATATTGACCGCCTAATGTGAGAGATCGGTCGTGGATTGGTCTGGATTGGATGGGGTGCTGAACATGTGACTATACAGCACGATGACTGTCTGAACTACATCTAAACAGAGCTGCGAAGTGGGAGGAGCTGCCGATTCTGGAAGTATGTTTCGTAACTAATTTTCTTGCAATTGGGAACCAAACGTGGCACCGTATGTAAAACTGATGCAAAATCTGAAAGTGAACTAATATAAAGGTGCAGGTTGTAGCGTGTAGTGTGGCTGCAGAACACAACTCGCTCGTTTCACTCTACCTTTTTAAGCACGAGAGAGGAACTACGGTGGCGTAAAACATGCAGAAACTATCCAGAGCCAGTGTTTGGTTTGTCTGTTCTGAGCAACTGTAGAAACATGGCAGTCCAACAGCATCCATGGAAAGCGCCCCACAGCGTATGTACATAAAAACAGCTCATTCAAAGGGAAACGCGATTCTTATTTTCAGGTGATGATACACTAATGAAAACATATAGTATTATATTCCCTTTCTGCCAATAGATCCTCCTAAATGTTACACACCGGACCTTTAAGCTACAGAATTTTGTACAGCAGTGTAATTGTTTCTTTCTGCTGGATCAGTCAGATATTTCTTACCTAACAGTAGCAACAAAAAAAAATGATATTTTCTAATTGTTTATCTTTTCTACAGATGATTCAACCAGGAGATTTTCATGTCCTTAGAATCAATGAAGTGCTTCAGCCGTGAGTCACCTAACAGTGTATATGGAGAAAATAAATGGACTGTGGAGTTTTAACAACTGTTTAACTTAGCAGTTAACTTGTGGAGTACACTCTTACCATTACCAATAGAAAGGATATGCAAAATTACAAAAATAAGCATACCCAAGTTGTAAAAGTTTTGAATTTAAAGTTGGGGCATCGACCCCTATTGTATGAAACAAGTAAATGCACAGTCCCTCGTTTCAACAAAGAGCTAACTTAGCAAACATGTTGAATTAGATACCTTTACAAGCCATCACCAAATCGCAAACGTTAGCATTAATATCGGTTTACTTTCCAGTCAAGTAAAGCCAATGTTAATTCTATTTCTATCACTTCTTCTTTGCTGCTGAATGTGGTTTTTTGCCCTCAGTACAGGGCTATACTTCTTTATCCTCTCATGGCGGACTGAGGGCAGACTGGATGCTACAGTGACTCATTGTCTCCTCTTGAGGTACAAAGTGGTATTACAAGACAGGACGGGCCGGACCAGGCTGGTTAGCTTGCTAACATCAATAGATGTTTCTTCAACACAATACATAATCTTTGACATGATACAACTGTTGATTTTAGTGACATTTTGAGACTATCCGATGTGTTCAGACTAGCTTCACCAGGTTTTAACGTATCCTTTAATGGATGGTCCTTTGATTAGATCCTATTTGCAAGGTTGTGTGTTCATTGTGTTGTCAATCTTTTTAGAGTTATATACTTTCCTTATGTTTGTTTTTATGGCAGTCCCATCCAGGTGTAGCACTATTTGTGTGGGAGAGGACTGTATGCTCATCAGCTTTCTCTAAAAAGAAGCATTAAGTGAATATTTAGGTTTATAAGTAGAAACTACAGTGTGCACATAGAGGTAAAACAGTGCCAGTGCAGGTACAGTATGATGAGTTACGCAGTGGAAAATAAGTATATAATTCTGCCCAGCCATACATGGAAACTTGAAAAGTCTGGAGTCGGTGTGAAATATGTTTTAATGACCAAATTGCTTAATAGGTTTTATGAATATGATATGACATAAATCACTTCAGATTTGCTAGGGGAGTAGTCCCTTTATTAAAGCTGGTAGAAATAAGGTATTTTAAATGTAGACCACCGTGACCACCACCACAGAAGTTGTTTTTCCCAATTTTCCCCATTTTCTGACACAGCTACTTTATCAAACCCACATGATAATCCCACATATTCTAACTCCAATGACTCGATTTTTCTGATACCACCCATGTCCACCCATGACACTTTTCTGGATCTGTCTCCCGATATCCACTATGATTGTGACATCCCTTCACGTCCTGTTTGACTCTCCCTGCACCATGAATAAATGTTTCCACTGTGATCTAACTGTACATTACCACTTCACCACCATACCACAAAACTGTGGAAATCACTGTTAAATGTACAGTATGTTGTACATTTGGTTGAGTTGGATGTCATGTGTTAACACATGAAGTCATGATGTCTTGTCAGTGAAGGATCTTAGCAGGAGAGCAACGTTGATTAATGTTGCGCATTAACATCTGTGTTTGTCCACATTGGCACTGGTCGCTTGTGATTTTTGAATATAAATTGTGGCCCTTCCAGGTTCCAACATATTGATTTATGTGAGAATATTGGATCTGGACTGTGTAAACACTTGCAGTGATTGTTTTAGTGAGTCTGTACCTGTTTTTTTTGTTGTTGTTTTTTTTCTGTGTGCATGTGTACATCTGTGTGCATGTCATTCCCCCGGTTGTATATCTGGTTTTGTCACACCCCTAATTGCGTAGTGTATTCTGTGACCTCATGTGTTTACTCTGGGCTGACTCAGTGAGTACTACTGCTGAAACGCACGACCGAGGCAGCTGAAATCTCATATTCTCTGGCCCCGATCACTTACTAATGAAGACACACTTTCCAACCAGCCATGCTGCTGCTGCTGCTGCCTTTTCCTTCTGCCTCACTTAACTCTCGGCTTATCACATAACAAAACAAACCTCACTCGCCGACCACCTTGGAG